ACGAGGTCCTCATGAACTTGCCCGTCAGGGCCCCACCTTGGCGCAGTGGCGGGATGGCCTGGCGCTCCGCCTCCGGCTGGGTGGGGAGCTTCGGGGACGCCTGCAGGGGAGGAGAGAAGGGAGAGAGTCCGGGTTGGCTGTTCCTCTGCAGGCCTTTGCCCTGCTCCTGAGTGCTGGCCAGGGATGGGGGACAAGAGCAGCCCCCCAGACACTCCCCTGGCTGCAGGGGGCCCCCGTCCAGGATCTCCTGTGGACCTCTCCTGGCTTAGGGTTCCCAATGGGGAGAGGGGTCTTATGGCCTTGAATGAAGTAATCCCCTACCCCGGCAGAGCTCCCCCAGGCGGCCGCAAGGCCCTGCCCCAGTGAAGACGGAGCTGGCAGAGATCGGTTTCTCCAGGTTCTGTGCTAGGGGTGTGCCCAGCTGAAGGGGCCCCAGTCCCTCAGTGGGATCCGTGCTCAAGGGGGTTAAGCCCTGAGGCCAGACACTGTCGGCCTGAATCAGAGTGGGGGAGAGGGGGGCCAGGTGCTCCCAGCCTCACCACAGCCACTGTCGCCAGCAGGGGGCCCTGCTGCACGTCGGAGCCATGCTGGGTGCACCCCTGGAATCTTGGGCCCTCGAGGCTCCAGCCCAGGAGTTTTCAGCCCAACCATTTCAAAGGGAGGTGCGGCCCCTGGAAATCTTAGACAGTCTGGGCTGGGAACCACCATTCTACCCAGCCCCTGGAGGGACAGTCACGAGGAGCAATGCCCTCCCGCCTTCCATGGCCCTTGCGCCAGGCCCAGGAGCTGGCTTTGTCCCCAGGCAGGACGGATCCCCCTCCCCACCGAACAGCGGCTCCATCCCTTGGCTCACAGGACTGGTTAGGCAGCCCGATGCCCCTGAACGCCAGCCTCAAGCTTGACCTCAAAGCCATCCACAGGCCCTCGGGGCTCCTCACACCACTCTGCTGATGCACCCGAACCTTGCCTGCAGCCCCTGCCCCACTGCTCTGCTCTCTCCCCGATGCCTGCCCGGACCAGGCTAACCCCCTTGGGGGGATCTTACCCCACCCTGCAGGGAGAGACTGAGAATCAGAGAATCCTAGAACTGGAAGGGCCCTCGAGGGGTCATCAAGTCCAGTTCCCCACCCTCACAGCAGGACCAAGCACCATCTAAGTCATCTGACAGGTGTGTGTCTAACCTGCTCTTCAATATCCCCCCCTCACCCCCCGGCAATTCACTCCAGTGTTTAACCCCTCTGACCATCGGGAACTTATTCCTGAAGTCCAGCCTGACCCTCCCTGGCTGCAGTCAAGCCCCTCGCTGCTTGTCCTGCCCTCAGAGGCCCAGGAGGACCATTTGTCTCCCTTCTCCCTGCAACGCCCATTTAGGTCCCTGAAAACTGCTCAACACCCTCTCAGTAAAAGATGGTTCTTGGGAGGAGGCTGGCCCACCCCTAGCCCTCCTGCATGGGCAAGGACGCATTTCCCAGCTGGGACCTGGGCCTGCTCTGAAGCCGGGCTGCTGTTCTGGGGGAACAGGGATTTTTTCCAGGACTGCTCTCTGCTCAGGTGCGCTCATTTTGGTTTAAAACCAACAGCACCACAAGGACTGAGGCAAGACAAAGGTGAGGGATGCCCCATCTGGTTGAGGTGCAAGAGGGGCTGGAAACAGAGGAACGGGGAGAAGGAAGGGGCCAGGTTCAAGGACAGTCCCCTCGGAACAAGGCAGAGGGTTTCCAACAGAGCAACGACATGGCCAGTCTGGAACCCTGCTCACTCCAGGCCCATCCCCATGCCAGGCAAACTGCCCCGCCCCCTCTGGCTGCACAGGGCTGTGAGCTCGCCCCCTGCAGGTTTCCAGTAAACTCCCCAGCCTGACTCTGCTGCAGGCAGACTGAGCTGCCAGTCCTTGCACCTCGCTGGCCCCACACACGTCCCCAAGTAAGACTGCATTAAGAACCCTCGCTGACTCCCTGCATGACTGCTTTCCCCACCTGTACAATGGAGAGTAATAGGCCTAGTTTGTTTACAAACTCTTCATCGGCAGGGGGCCTTACGCACTTCGCTTGCTGCTCACTGTGCTCCCGCGAGGAACTAAGATATTGAGTGCTACGTGACCTAAGGCCATGCCAGGATCCAGGGTCAGACCCAAGAGCTCCTGGCAGATTCTCTGTAGTGGAGTCCAGTTGTCTGGGAGCCAGAACTCCTGGGTTCTATGCCGGGCTCTCCCCATCACTTGGATCCCTGCAAAGCAGGCACAAAGTGGCTCCCTGCTCAGACTGGCTACGCTCTACCCCATCCTGCGCTGGTGTTTGGGACACCGACACGGCCTGCCCCATTCTCCCATGTGCGCCTGGCCTGGCTGAGCTGCCCACGGAGTCAGGGGAGGGGGCGGGTGCCGCCGTACTCACGTTGAGGTGCGACTTGGTGACGGTGACCGTTGCCTGCAGTCCCAGGGAGATGTTGGGCAGGGATGGGGAGGTGTAGAGGTTGAGCTGGCTAGCGGACCCGTCCATTGCCAGGGCTCTGCGTGGAGGGAGCATCTGCTGCAGGGGAGGGAGGGGCAGGGAAGAAAGAGACACGGGTAAGAAGCTTTGTAGGCCAAAGGGAAGGACGCGGCGGCTGCTCAGCCCCAGCCTGCCAGCTCTGCAGGAGCAGGACTTGCTAGGGCAGCACTAGCCAGCAGGGGGCGCTCTCCTCTGACAAGCAGGGTGCATGGGACAGTGTCCTAGGAAGGGGCTCTTTGGGGGAGAGGGGAGCAGCATGTGGCTGGTGACAGGCAGCCCCTCCAGCCTCGGCAATGCAGGACGGAGCAGAGACGCTGCCCATGCCAACGACTACTGCTCGCCATTTCTACAGTGCCGTGCCCCTGCCCCTCGGAGCCCTGTCCTGCCCCCTCTTCCATCCCTGCTCAGCTCTCGCCCCCCAGGGTGCCCCCACCCACAGCCGCCTAGCTCAGCGCTGACACTCCCAGCTTCGGCCCACCCGCTAGGCTTGGAGGCCCCGTCCAGCACCCGGCAGCCCATCCCTGCTGCAGGAGCAGGGAGAAGCAGGCCAGGCTGACTGGGGATAAGACATCCCTGCAGGAGGCGCTGCTGACCACCGGATGGGCCCCATGAGCAGGCACGCAGCCATCCTGCCCCATCCCTCTGGGCCTTTGTTCTGTGCTGCCCCTTATGCCCATTGTGGCCTCAGGTCCGTATGCGGCTTGGCCGAGTTAACAGCTCCTGAGTGGGCGTCTAGCCGCTCCCATGCAGGGACAGAGACCATCTCACAACCAGCTCCGCCCAGAGGCCCCAGCAGAGGCCTGGGCAAACCCCGCCTTTGGGTTCGGACTTGGATGCTTGCTGAGGATCCTGCAGGCACTCGGACCAGGCAGGAAACCCCACCACGACAGCTGGCAGGACCTGGCTGGCAGGCCGACGGGCTCCAGTAGGGAGCTCATGCCAGGTGGGAGTGTAGAACCTGCAACCCCCTGAATTCCGGCACCGTGCACCACCAGGACACAGGCAAAGGGCCCCTGGACACAACAGTGGCTGCGCTTTGAGGCCAACTACAGGGTGACGGGTGCTAACGAGAAACTCCATGTCCCCAAAGCAGAGCAAGCACCGCCTCCCCCCCCATGAGTGGAACATTCATCCCCCAGCACACACGGGAGACTCAGCTCCTCTGCCCCAGGATGGCCCTTTGACCATTGAAAGCTGATACTGTCCCAGTCACATCCCACACGCAGGACCATCTATCCGGCTGTACCAGCCCCTCCAGAAGCAGGGCACACAAAACCCCAGCCTGTGACAGAAACCTCTTCCCGGGGAACTGTTCATTGCTATCCCTTGCCTTGATCCAACTACAGTCATTCACACACAATCCTTTTGTTTATTTTAGCTGATTTGAGTCGACTGGGGCGGAATGAATTCAATCAAGTGTGTCCTTCCTCTAATTCACCCCGGCTCCGCACTGGGATTCCTCCCCTGCTGTTTGCACAGACTCCTTTCCATCGAGCGGGCCCAGGATCTGGACCAGCAGCGGGAGCCTGGCCAGCACCCGGGGTAATTCCTCGCGGGGCAGCATGCACTGCCATAGTGTCGCAGTCCGGTCTGTGCATGCTGCGACTCCCTGTGGCGACTGCACCGGGGACCTACCCACAGCAAACCCCAGGGAACAGGGCGGGCAACAGACCAGCTTGTAGCAGAAGGAAAGAGACGAAGCCAACAAAGGGCAGCAAGCGCAGGGAAGGAGACAAACAGCCTCCCAACGTTACTGAGCTCAGGTCACTCGGGTCTCTGAGGAAGGGGCTTGGGAGGTGGTTTGGAGACTGGCTGTTCTGTTTGGGTTTTCGGCAACATATGTTGTGGTTGTTTTAAATGGCAGCATCCCAACTGCAGAGAAAGAAAAAGCCCCCCTCACTCTCCCAGCCCAGGGAAAAAGAACCTCAACATCCCTATTGCCCTCAGGCTGCTTTCCCCAGCCCTCTGGGAGTCCCGACTGCGGCGCGCAGAGAATCAGCACAGCTGACACTTGAAAGCCCATCGCTCCACACCCCACAAGGCATGCGCTTTGCTTGTATAATATGCCAGCCATGTGACACCCTGGCAAGCCCCACATACGGTGTTAACCCTTCCCTCTGGGCACTCCAGCCCAAGGTACAAGACGGGGTAACAAGCAAAGCATAAAGCACGTCTCAGGGCAGTCTATGGCAGTGCCACGAAGACGAGTGGTCAGCTCTTTGGCCAGGGCTTGTGCTGGAGAAAGCCAGCGAGGACTGGAGGAGGGAGGCTCTGCGCCCCTGGGGCTCCGTTTGCAAACCTTACCTCAGTGTGGATGTTGGGGGTGGAGCCGGTGAAGCCGTTCTCAGCGATGGTGCAGCTGGAGCTGTTGGGGGAGCTGGGGCCGGACCCGGGGGCACTGTTACACACGGAGGAGACTGCAAGAAAAGGGAAAATTGCACCCAGCACAGATGCGCCTTCCCCACAGTGCTGCAGACTGCGAGGCTAGTCCAGATGCTGTGCCTGGGGGCTAAACACTGCAATCTTTGTGGCCTTCCCCAAGGCAGGCTCGTCCTGCACTGTGCATCCCACATGGACTTGGACCGGGCTGAGGGCAGGCAAAGCTGGCCCAGATGTGTGCCCGACTGACCAGCCGAGGGTCTGGGAGGAAAGTAGGCCCAAATGTCTGGGAGGAAGTGATACTACTTTGGGGAAGGCTCCCACAGTGCCAGCGCCCTGCTTCCACATGGGAAGGAGGGCAGGTATGCCAGGAGACTTGGTAGGAGTTCTAGTCCCAGCTCAGGTTTGTGTTACTGCCTAGCTCCGTGCCTCAGTTTCCCCAACTGTCATGTGTCCTCAAGGGGTGACATGCTGCATTCTGCATGCTCCTAGTGGAAGGTGAAATGTCATTCCAATTGGCTAGCCCAGCAGATGGGCACAGAGCAGGGCTCAGGGCCTGGGCTGCCCTGCCACAGTAACCTTCACAGAAATGGCAGCTAGTCATCCACACAGTGAGATGCCCTCCCTGCACAGCCCTGGTCCTGCCCCCGTGCGGAGCAGGGTAAGCTGGCAGTGCTCAGAGTCGGCAGCAAATGTTTGTTGGGGGAGGCTGCTGGATTTGAACGACTCCAGATGTGATGCACCAAGTGGAAAAAAATCCCATCTTCCCGCATGGCAGGGGAGGGGACCGGAGCACCCCAGAATCTCCCCATTCTCCAGCTGCAGCTGACCCATGCCATTGGCACCCAGACTGAGCGCGCCAGGTCATCACAAACCCTCACTGCAGCCAGGTACGAAAACCTCTGTGCCACCCCTGCCAGGGTCACACGGCTGGGACCCCTAGGGCAGAACAGCTTTCCAAGCACCACCTGTCTGCCAGGATCCGCACTGGCATCAACCAGTGTCCCTCCATGGACTTCAACAGGCTGCTGACTTACAGCAGCTGGGTCCTGGGCCACGGAGCAATGAAGATTTGGGAGTTGTGGATCCCGCCCATTGACACTCTGCGGACTGACACCACCCTGTCTCAGGAAGCCAAGTACCTGCCGCTGCTCTGGACTGCTAGCAGCCCCGGCGTGGCTCAAGAACACGCCAGACATTATGTAACTGCAGCTCGGAGGCAGCGGCTGGACTCGCCCCCACCCCTGGGAACATTTCAGATGCTCTTGGATTAGCCACTGCTGCCCCTGCCACACACACACAGGCCTCTGGATTAATGTCTTCATTCGATATAACAGCAGGAGAAGTCGGGGAGACTGGCTCGTCCCTCACAGAGCCGGGAGCCTGTCGCTGGGGGCGGGTTTCAGAGGAGACTGACAGGCGTCAATCAGTGCAGCTGCGTATGCCTGCCTAGGAACCAGCCCTGCTCCAGGGCCTGGGCAGAATATTAAACCCAAGCAGGAGAGCAAATGCAAGAGGAAAGCGGCAGCCGAGCCCACAAGCCCCGGTCCTTCTGCAGAGACTAGCACTAGAAATCCCCATCACAGACCCCGCCCGCTCTCCCCAGCCCAGGGAAACGGGCTATGCAGGACGCCCTCAGGGGCCCCACATTTAGGCTATTTCCTAGCAGGGAGGGGGCATGAAGTTCAAATCTGGGGGATGCCGGGTTAGCAGCTCCCTCTCTTCTAAACCTCAGGCGGGCCAGGCGGCCTTGGACGGACAGATTCCCCCAGCCACGCGAGGACAGATTTTCAAGAGCTCGGGGCCAGATTCTGAAGTCACCAGCCGCCACATGTTCCCCTTCAGGCACTGAAATCAGAGCCAGGTTTCCACAAGGGTCTCTGCACCCAGGCAACCCAGCCTACATTTGAAGCGCTTTGGAAAAGCGACCAGGGCTTCCTAGACCAAAGCCAAGACCAGGACGCCATGGTCCCAGAGCCCTGATACCATCAAGACACCCCACTCAACAGGCCGTGTTTTGCTCTCCAAATGGAAGTTCACTGCCATGCTCTGGTCTGCGGAGACGACAGGCAGGTGAGTCACCAGCCCGGCTCACATGCAGGTGGGCAAAGCCTATTTGATCGGGCCCCGATTTAACATGCAAACCCAACCAGCACCCAGGAGATGCACCCGCATAGCCAAAGGGATTGCCAAACCCCACAGTCCTCTGGTTGAATCTTAAGGCCTGGGCTGCCCTTGAAATGTAGATGGATCTAACACCATCACTCGGGGAGTGAAAACATTCACACCTGAGTGCCAGAGTTCAGCTGGAAGAGATCCATTGGGACCGCGCCCCACGGAGGTGGATGAAACCCCCCTGCTGTGGATATCTGCACGACAGGACTGTGGCTGCCATGCTGAGTGGCAGTGATCACAGTGAAGCTGTAACCTAGTGTAGCTGTCCAGGTACAACCCTGGGGGGAAGGGGGACGACAATCTTATTCCAGCGTCAGAGGTTCACCAGTGTCACTGGGGAAGGAGACAAACCACTCTGGAGCAAGACAGTCCACGCTGGGGATTATGTACAGGCATAAAATAGCTCGACTGGTACAATGACATCGGTTTCCATGTCTGCTCCAGGCCAGCACTACGTTAGAAGGCTCCACTAGCACGCACAACCGACACTGCCCTGCCTCCCCCAGCCTCAGCCTCGACACAGCCATCTGGACAAACCGGCCTTCCAAAGAGCTCCGCTACTGGGTTCAGCCACTCCAGCAAAAGGACTTTCTAGCACGCAGAAGCCACGTCTCCACCAGGGAAGTTTGCTCTGCAGGTCTCTCTTAAGGGTAGCCTGAGCATCCATGCCCCAGAGACTAATGGCACGCGGCCAACGGCATGGCCAATTGTGCACCCAACATCCACAACAGCACACACCACCCAGAGAGTTCTCTGTTTAGACCAGCAATCGTAACGGAACCTCCTGGCCCCCGAAGCTCAGGGAGGCAAAGTGACAAGGGAGGGCCCGGCTTCCCCAGAAAAGGAGCATGCAGGAAGGGCTCTTTGCATGCATGATCATGAGGCACGCGGCCAACGGCATGGCCAATTGTGCACCCAACATCCACAACAGCACACACCACCCAGAGAGTTCTCTGTTTAGACCAGCAATCGTAACGGAACCTCCTGGCCCCCGAAGCTCAGGGAGGCAAAGTGACAAGGGAGGGCCCGGCTTCCCCAGAAAAGGAGCATGCAGGAAGGGCTCTTTGCATGCATGATCATGAGGCTGCAAGGCCTTGCTCCAGTGCTTGGCCCAGCTAATGTCTGTGGGGAAGCCATGGAAGGACACAGTCTATGTACTTCTCTCTGTGTAGGGTCTGTGCCACATGCTTCATGGTCCTGCCTGAGCCTTGCCCAGAAATTCAAGGTCAGCGTGTGCTCTACTTGCAGGCCAGCTCTCCCTTTACAGTGACATCTCATTGTCACCTCTCCTGGGGCCAGCCTTCTGGAACCCCAGCTGTGAGCACCCCCAAGCTCTTGGGCTGATCAGGACTAGCTCATCACAAGAGCTGTTGGCCATATGTCCCAAGAACAGTTCTGCGGGAGAACACGTGGCTACAGTGATAATTAATACTAGCACTTCTACACTGAACCTGTTTCACTCATCAATCCCCAAGTGCTTCACAAAGGGAGGCAGCAGCATCATCTCATGCCACACATGGGGAAACCGAGGCACAGCAGAGACGTGACTCACTGCTAGTGGCACGGCTGGGATTAGAACCTGGGATCTGGGTGCCCAGTCAGGGGCTCTATCCACTGCACATGCTGTCCCCTCCCTGCCGCTAGGCCACACCAGGGTCACTGCCAGGCACCACTTCCTTTTGACCGTAATTAAAGCACCGTGTGGAACAATCAAAGGGACCCTGGGCCTACAACCGCCTGCCAGCCAGACGCCTGCATGCCGCCCGCCGCCCAGGTGGGCATCACTCACCTGTGATCTCGATAGCTCTCTTTTTGAACGTGCTGATGACGGTTCCGTCTTTCCTCCGCAGCAGGGGGCTGCTCCTGCGCTCAGCCACTTTCTGCTTTAACCGCGAGCGCACTTTCAGGTTGGGTTCCGAGGCTGGATGGGAGATGGAAAAGCACGATGGAGGTTCCTGCCCTGAATCGCTGCTCTATGCCTGCCTTCCAGCCTCTGGCTGGCAGCTCGTGCCTAGCGCCCGGCCCCAGGGGCTACCAGAGCTTAGCTAAAGGGGCTGCTTCACTAGCCCAGCTCGCCAGGCTGGGGCTGGCTTTGATCTCTGCAGCCACAGCACACGGCATCGGCTTGCTCTGTCCCTCATCCTACATTTCTGCCAGATCCTGAAATATCCCTCCTCCTCCTGCCCTTTCCCCAGCAAGATCCCTGGGTGCCCACTCTGCCCCCCAACCCTCAGGGGCCCTCTCCATGCACAGCAGTGGGCATCTTCCTCCAGACACCCCTAGGCCATGGAAGCGGCTTTGCCTCCGGGCGGCCAGTTCAAATCCAGCCTGGGGCTGTAGTAAGGACAATTTGCTAAGGTCTGGTCCACAAAGCACTTAGGCTATGTCTAGACTGCAGGCTTCTTTCAAAAGATCGCGTCTAGACTGCAGGCGGATCTTTCGAAAGAGAAATCCGCTTTTTCGAAAGAGAGCACCCAGCGAGTCTGGATGCTCTCTTTCGAAGACGGCCTCTTTACATTGAAGAACGCCTTCTTTCGAAAGAGGAACTTTCGAAAGAAGGCGTTCTTCCTCGTGAAACGAGGTTTACCGCCATCGAAAGAAAAGCCGCGTTCTTTCGAAATAATTTCGAAAGAACGCGGCTTGAGTCTGGACGCAGGGGAAGTTTTTTCAGGAAAAGGCTACTTTTCCCGAAAAAACCCCTGAGTCTGGACACGGCCTTAGTGTCCAACCCTAGGGGCTTTGCAAAGAGCGCAGGGCCAAGTCTGCCAGGGCTCAGGTCCCCGAGTCAGGACCCGATTTCCAGACGAGCTCAGCACCCAGCGGGAGCCCTGTGTGAAGGGCTCTGATGAAACTTTGGCTTCTAATTCTCGTGCCTAAATGAGAACTAGGCTCTCATGAGTATTAGGTCCTAGATTACAAATTACAGCCCTCCTGGTGCTAGCTACAGCCACGGAGCCTCCCCACCTCTCTCCAGACACTTTTTGGGGGGCTCGTTTATGGCCTCACCTCCCTGCTCCCAGTCCTGGCAAGGAGGCGCATTACAATGGTCATTTTTGTGACACCTGCCCAACGGGAACTGGACCGAGAACCAGCAAGCTCATCTCACCCAGGCTACCTCACAGCCAGGGGTCAGCTACGGCCCTGGAGGTGGATTTGAACCAATGGCTCAGAGGCAAAGCTGCGCCTGTGCCCCCAATCCAGCCAGCCCATCCAAAGGGGGTTCATAAGTTTCCCTTCCCCTGCAACGGCACTGACCAGTTTTCCGGAGCGGAAAGTCGTCTCTGCTGTCGTACGTGCCGAGGAGGGGTAGTTTATAGGAGGGCGGTGTTCCTGGGCTGCCTGTCTGGGGAGGGGAACTCTGGTCCAATGAGGTATGATGGGCTCCCCTGCAGAGACAGACCAAGAAGCAAAGTCATTCGAGAGACCTGCCCTACTAGCTGGTACCCCAGAAGGGGACTAACACGTGTCTCCACTAGGTGAGCCAGGGTGCTGGTGTCTAGACAGACAGAGCTCGTTACAGCCAAGGCTGCGTGGTGGGATAGGGACAGTTAAAGCCCTGGCTACACTCCAAGAGCCAAGCACGTTCTCATCACGACAGGGGGGCACTGAGGGGTCCCTCCGCCAGGGCAGGGTGCACGAGGAAGATCAGGGGATGTGGGGGATTTAACAATCTCTGCGGGACCCCGATGAGCAGGGGATGGTCGGGTGGTAGTGACCAAACCGCTTGGCGAAAGCCCAAAATGTGAATGGAAAGAAGGAAGGAAGGAGGTGCGGGGGAGGGGGCAGCCAATCGGGGATCTGTTTTTAGCCAGCTAAGTGGATTTATCCCTAAGCACCCCTGGCCTCAGGAAGTGGAGTAGGTCACTGCGATGCAATTAGCCACCGCGCGTGCCAGGCCCTTTGGAAAGCCAGAGACATGCCACAGCCGCCTCCGCGCCCAGGACAGGGCCGTTTTGGTTTGCGGGGATTCGTGTTTGCTGCAGAGATGCCCTGGGGAAGCCTGGTGCCTCCAGACCCCCACCGGACACTCCCCATTGGCACGTCACCCAGCCCAGGGCTCCGGCAAAGTGCTCCAAGCCAGGCCGTGGGGACAAGGGAGCCATGGGGCCCAGCAGACAGGGACAGTGAAGCGGGACCTGCATGGCCCATCAGACCCCGCCACACCCCCGAGCCCTGATGCCCCACTCTGGCCACGCCCCCATGCTCCCTCCCAGAGCACAGCACAGAACCCAGGAGCTCAGTAGTCCCGGACGGGCCCCTCTGGCCCGCCCCGCCTCGGCCCACCTACCAGCATGTGGGGTGCTGCGGGAGGGAATGGTTGAAGCCACCTGCTGCCAGCTCTTTAGACTTGCTGAGGAGGAACTCCTGGAGTTTCAGCTTCACTTCTGTGCTGGCGATTGCACCTGCCGACAGGTGGGACGTGTCCATGGGAAATGCACGGGCCACCCAAACAGCCCTGAGCATGGCCGGGGGAGGGGGCACCCAGCCCCAGTGGGGGGGAGGGGTTAGCACAGCCTCCCAGGCCAGCTGACCGGGGCAGCACCAATGCCACCCAGGCTGGCAGGGAAGGGCTTTGTCTTTCACTTGCATGCAGGTGGGGCCTGAAACTCAAACCAGACCTGATGTGAGTCTCAGGCTTCAGCCTCACGCAGTCTTGGTTCCACACAGATGCCAAGCGAGCTCCTGCCCTGGGCACCTGCACCCCACAAAGCCCGCGGCTGTGTCGCCAGGCCCACGCTCCCCATGCTCCAGCGTCTGCAGGATCCAGACAGACCCGCTGCTCCGTCCTGTGCCCATAGGAGTAACGAGCCCCCCCCAAGCTCCCAGCCGGCTGCCCATGCAGTGCCCTCAGCTGGGCCCTTCGGGCCTCCCTGGCGGCAGCTCCCCTGCCTGGCTGCTCATAGGGTGGGAATTAAAACCCAGCCAGCCGCCCACGGCCCCGCCTGGGCCCAGCCCCTCCCCCACTCACTTTCTTTGCTCTTCTCCTTATTCCGGAGGATGAGAAGCTGCTGCTCCAGCCGCTGCTTCTCCAGCTCCTCCTGCCGCTGCTGCTGCCCCTTGCGCTGCTGCTCCAGCTCCTGCTGCCGCTTTGCCGCCAGCATCTCCTGCTGCTGCTGCAAGGCAGAGGGAGCTGGGTTAGCAGGGAGGGGCCCGCGCCGGCTGCGGGGCGCCACAAAGGGAGGGAGAGGGCAGGGAGGGTGAACCCAAGCAATAAAGAAGTGACTTGTTCGGGGGACCCAGGTTAGCAGGGGGGAAACCCCCTTTTGCCATCAAAAGAACCCGCCCTGTCTGCAAGGCCCGGGCACAGCCCCAGCTGCTGAAGAGCAACTCTCAGCTCCTTCCCGTGGCGAATGGCTGGCACCCCAGGGAGCTGGATTGGGCCTTACCAGCCTGCCAGGGTGGGCGCCCAGCAGCCCCTCCCTTGGCTGGTGCAGTGGGGCTTGCTTGAGCTCACGGGGCCCCTCCCACAGGCTGGGGGCATTTGAGGTGGGAGAGGAAGTCATGGCACTTGCCTGGGGTCAGTAGCGAGCAAGAGGCTAAGCCGGCATTAAACCAGGAGCCAGCCAGCTCCTGGGGGCGAGGCAGCTCAGAGCAGCCCTGCTAGGAGCAGGCAAAGAAGCCCAGCTGAGGTAGGGAGCGTGGAACCCCCCCCCACATCCCCCCACATCCCCGCCCCTCGGCACAGGGGGCGGCTCAAAGGGACAACCAATGAGATAGAACAGGGGAGGCTGGGAGATGCGGAAGTCTCGCCCTGCAGCCCTGAGCCAGCAAGGGAAAATTCCCACAGACAGTCCCACCTGCACCCCTGCCTTCATGCTACAACAGATGTGTGTGGGGGGGGCTTTGGGTCGTCCACCTCCGGTCTGGAATCCAGACAGATCCCTGCACCAGCGCAGCGGCACAAGCCGAGAATCAGGCCCCCTGCTCCTGCGGTGCACAGGCCAGCCCTGGCCCCTCAGCCTTCCGTGCAGCATGTGGACTGTCTGGATGGGACCTCGCTCCACCGGGGACAGTGGGGTCGCCCTTGTCTCCTGCCCGTCCCCTCGCACTGCCATGGGGAGCCAGGGGAAGGTACCACCCCGAAGGTGGCTGCATTTCACGTCGGGATGTTAATGAATGTTTGAACTATTAACCAGTTATTTAATGACTAACCCTGGAGTAGCCCCTCCCCTGCTCACGGTGCAAGGGGCGGTGGCTGGGGGGGATGCTCCAGTCACAGCCCTGCCCCGGCCCTGCTGCGGCCGGTTGACCAGTGGCCCGTTAGCATCTCACCTTGAGGTGCTTCTGCAGCTGGACTTCGTGCTGCCGCGTCAGGTGCTCGTGCTGCTTCTGGAACTCAGCAAAAAGCAGCTGCTTCTGCAACTGTTGCTGCTGCTTCAGGACCAAAAGCTCCTGCTGCAGCTGCTGCTCCCGCACTGCTGGGTCCACGCTGGGCACGCTCCCCCGCCCGTCTGGCCGCAGCTCCACCGGGCTGCTGCTGCTGCTGCTGCAGTTCTGCATGGCTGCAGGCAGCACTGGCTTCACGTCTACCGCTGGGGAGCAAACACACACAGGCCCTAGAGATCTGCAGCCAGCAGGAAAAGCAGGAGCTAAAGACCCTGAACAGCCCCCCTTTTACTCTCCCACTTGCTTATGGTGTCAGAGGGGCAGGGTTCAGCTGGGGTATCCTGGTGGGCACGGTTCCCCAATGGGAACCATGCCCCGGGAACAGCCAGGGTGCCCCAGTGGGCACAGTGCTCCAGGGACAGCCAGGGCACCCCGGTGGGCGCAGTGCTCCGGGAAGAGCCAGGGCGCCCTGGTGGGCGCAGTGCCCCGGGGACAGCCAGGGTGCCCCGGTGGGCGCACTGCCCCGGGAAGAGCCAGGGTGACCCGGTGGGCGCAGTGCCCTCGGGTGCTTTAGGGAATGGCTAAATGAATCCAGGACTGGAAGCAGCCAGAGAAACTCCTACATTTCCCATTCCCACCCTCTGCCCACGGCTGGACGCTGCTCCCAGTGATTGGAGCCCCGGCACTGCCACCCACCCAAAGTGTGCCAGCCTCAGGACTCAGCTGGATCCAGGTTGGTCGACTCGTGTCCGGTGCCGTGTCCATCAGCCCCAGGGAGCCTCGTGCCGGGCAAAGACCCTGCCGGGGCATTGGCAGCGATAGCCGCGTACCCCCAGAATGCAGCAACTGCTTACTCCCTGGGCACAAGGCACGGGCACCTGGGAGCTCTGCTCCTCTCAGCCAGCCTTTCACAGGCTAGCGTGCCCAAGGGGTCTGATGCATCCTGGGGAGACCCCTAGCGGGAAGGGGCCAACGCTCCAGGCCAGGGCCTCATGGAGTCCTTTCTGCAGGGGCTCGGATTGGCTGTGCAGAGCTGCTTCCCGGACGCCAGGGCCACCCTCACCCACCGCCAGGGAGAGAGCTAAGTCTGGGAACGAGGGCATAGCCAGAGCCCCAAGTAGGACAGGAAGGATACTCCCCACCCCCACCACCTGGGGGCTCTGCCGGGCCCCATCTCCCTACAAATCTTAGGGCTCAGCCGCTCCCCCAGCTTTGCTGCTTGGCAGGACGCCCCAGTCATCGCCCCAGCGGCCTGGCTGCGGGGGGAACTGGGCACCAGCGGCAGGCGGTGCTTTGGCAGGCTGTGAATGAGTCGAGAGCATGCGTGACTCAGTTGCTCGCTCCCCTCGTGCTCCCCGCCTGCCATGAACCCACAAAGGCACAGATCCCGCACCCGCTGGAGGGGGGTTTGTGGGGCACACGGCAGAGACAGCTGCCCCCGCTATTCCTGAGTGAGGGGTTTCTCCAGGAAATTATCCCCTCTCTTCAGGTTTATTGTGATGACCTGGGGGGGGACTAAATATGGACAGAGCCAAACAGCAGCTGTTGTGAGCTGGCAGGGGAGGTGGGGGCAGCTCTGGAGAGAGCAGGCGGAGCAGCGCTGCTGCGAAAGGCGGCAGGGGGAAGAGAGGAAAGAGAAAATCAGGAGCAACTGCCCCTTCCCTCGGAGGATCTGAACAGCCATGGGTTATGTCTCACCCCCGCCCGCCCCCCAATGAGGCTCTGTCTCACTAGTGACCGCACCTAGGTCTGCCCATTGCGACTGTTAGGGATGAAAGCGACTAGTCGAGTCGACTGCTCACCCCAGGCCCTGTATCAGAGGTAGCAAGTGGAGGGGGGAGCAGGAGCAAGAGCTGGCTTAAAGCTGGTTCCCCCCAGCACCATCTACACGATGGGGGGGGGGGGGGGGGGCACTCTGTGGCTCTGCATTTTAAGTATAGCAAGCGCCGAGTGGCTCTTACTACATTTAAAATGCAGAGGCGCAGTGGTCCCAGTTCTGGCTCACAGCAGGGGTAGCTCCTGGACCCGGCCTTAGCCAGGACAGAGCTCCTCCCCTTATCGATTAATCATGTAGTCGATACAAATTGCATTGACTACACAATTAGCCAATTACCTGCCTCTTAACGTCCTTAGGTGCTGTCCATCTTTATTGCTACTCAGTAAATTACGGTAGCATCTAGCCAGTCCAGGCATGGGCTAGGACCCTGTGGGTACGTCTAGACTACAGGCTTTTGTCGACAGAAGCTTTGTCAACAGATACTGTCGACAAAGAGCATCTAGACTACATCCAGTTCTGTCAACAAAGCAAGCCGCTTTGTTGACATGACAGTGTAGACGCAAAGGGCGGTGTAGATACAATAACGCCTTCTGGCGACAAAAGGCATTATTCCTCGTAGAATGAGGTTTACCGCCGTCGATAAAACTGCTGAGTTATGTCGACAGAACTCAGCAGCAGTGTAGACGCAGGTATAGTTTTGTCGACAAAAGTCCACTTTCGTCGACAAATCCCTGTAGTCTAGACACACCCTTTGACAGGAACGGTACATTTGTATTGCTATTCGGTAATTATGGCAGTGCCACCTAGCCACCCACGAACGCTCATGATGCCATCAACATGTTTTGTTACTTTTTAAGGTGCTACTAGACAATTTGTTGTTTTTTAAGAGACAAGAATGCCAGTCGGGGGACATGCCACACAGCTCGATTTGGGAGCAAATGCAGGGCCAAGTCGCAGCCGTCTTCCCACAACCCACGGCAGGGCTGGTGGTTAACAGCTCTGGTCTGCCCAATTACACAACACCCCTTCCAGTTCCCAGACACACCCACCCTCCCAACCTCCCCACTTTTTTGTGTTTCTTCACCATGGCAACTCTGCTGACGTGGTGGTGATGCGGTGTGAGCCCGTGCGTAGCGCGAGCGACACACATGGGTGACCCTGCTCAGGTCAATAATTTGACATCAAATCAAGAGTGTTTATCCTCTTCTGCCGGCACCTCCGCCCTGCCTCTAAGCTTCTGATCTGACACTTCCAGCAAAGGCGGGAGGTTAGATCTTTATAAACCAGATGCTTTAGGGTCTGGTTGTACATGCCATGTGGGTGTGAAGCCAGGGCACTGGCAAGAGTGGGAACAGGGGTCTGATTCTCTATGCTTGTGGCCAGTGGGTGCAAACACACCGTCAGGATCAGGCAAATGACAACACAATCTGCCAAGCGAGGGAAAACTGGGCCAAACATGTCACACAGCAACTCAACATCTCCCTGTGGCACACCTCTTAGCCCCTTACCATCATAGACTGCGCTTGTGCTCAGAGACAGGATAATTAGCCCCTGGGTTGCACATGGGAAACTGAGGTCCAGATCCTCAAAGGTGCTTAGGTGCCTAACACAGCACCTAGCACTCAGAGGAGGTGTCTAGACTACAGGGCTTTTTGGAAAAAACTTCCCCTGCGTCTAGACTGCAGCCACGTTCTTTCAAAATTAAATCGAAAGAACACGGCGGTTTTTTCAACCGCAGTAAACCTCATTTTACAAGGAAGAACGCCTTCTTCCGAAAGCGTTCTTTTGAAAAAAGGCGCTCCTGAATGCAAACGGTGCTTTTTCGAAAGAGAGTGTCTAGACTCTCTTTCGAAAAAGTGGCTCACTTTTCCGAAAAATCTGCCTGTAGTCTGGATACTCTCTTTCGAAAGAGGCTTGTAGTCTAGACATAGCCTGAGACACTAGATCCATGCCTGGGCACCAAGCACGTACCACAATCATATATACAGTAGCCCAGTGTCTGTGACTCTGTAACGCTGAAATGCTGGCTGTTCCCTCTGGGCGGCGCTGTCGCCTTCCTGGCTGTTCCCTCTGGGCGGCGCTGTCGCCTTCCTGGCTGTTCCCTCTGGGCGGCGCTGTCGCCTTCCTGGCTGTTCCCTCTGGGCGGCGCTGTCGCCTTCCTGGCTGTTCCCTCTGGGCGGCGCTGTCGCCTTCCTGGCTGTTCCCTCTGGGCGGCGCTGTCGCCTTCCTGGCTGTTCCCTCTGGGCGGCGCTGTCGCCTTCCTGGCTGTTCCCTCTGGGCGGCGCTGTCGCCTTCCTGGCTGTTCCCTCTGGGCGGCGCTGTCGCCTTCCTGGCTGTTCCCTCTGGGCGGCGCTGTCGCCTTCCTGGCTGTTCCCTCTGGGCGGCGCTGTCGCCTTCCTGGCTGTTCCCTCTGGGCGGCGCTGTCGCCTTCCTGGCTGTTCCCTCTGGGCGGCGCTGTCGCCTTCCTGGCTGTTCCCTCTGGGCGGCGCTGTCGCCTTCCTGGCTGTTCCCTCTGGGCGGCGCTGTCGCCTTCCTGGCTGTTCCCTCTGGGCGGCGCTGTCGCCTTCCTGGCTGTTCCCTCTGGGCGGCGCTGTCGCCTTCCTGGCTGTTCCCTCTGGGCGGCGCTGTCGCCTTCCTGGCTGTTCCCTCTGGGCGGCGCTGTCGCCTTCCTGGCTGTTCCCTCTGGGCGGCGCTGTCGCCTTCCTGGCTGTTCCCTCTGGGCGGCGCTGTCGCCTTCCTGGCTGTTCCCTCTGGGCGGCGCTGTCGCCTTCCTGGCTGTTCCCTCTGGGCGGCGCTGTCGCCTTCCTGGCTGTTCCCTCTGGGCGGCGCTGTCGCCTTCCTGGCTGTTCCCTCTGGGCGGCGCTGTCGCCTTCCTGGCTGTTCCCTCTGGGCGGCGCTGTCGCCTTCCTGGCTGTTCCCTCTGGGCGGCGCTGTCGCCTTCCTGGCTGTTCCCTCTGGGCGGCGCTGTCGCCTTCCTGGCTGTTCCCTCTGGGCGGCGCTGTCGCCTTCCTGGCTGTTCCCTCTGGGCGGCGCTGTCGCCTTCCTGGCTGTTCCCTCTGGGCGGCGCTGTCGCCTTCCTGGCTGTTCCCTCTGGGCGGCGCTGTCGCCTTCCTGGCTGTTCCCTCTGGGCGGCGCTGTCGCCTTCCTGGCTGTTCCCTCTGGGCGGCGCTGTCGCCTTCCTGGCTGTTCCCTCTGGGCGGCGCTGTCGCCTTCCTGGCTGTTCCCTCTGGGCGGCGCTGTCGCCTTCCTGGGATAATAAACATCATCCCTGTGCAGCCAGCCAATGTGCTAACTAGGGATGTTAAATATCGGTTACTGAATTGTCAATTCGCCTCATCGATTCTTAGCGGTTACTCAACTATTCTATAGCCCCTGGGGGTGGGGCCGGCAGCCAGCGCGCTCGGCCCTACTCCAGAGGAGCTCCCTGCC